GTTTGTGTTAATGTAGGTTTGATCATGGTGGGATGGACTTTATGATAACAGTTGGAACGTATGGAGATGCCATGTCCCTTCTCTTCTTCCTTCCTAGATGTGAAACAAAAGAAATGAAAAAGAACGAATAATGGAAAACAGAGGCTGATGGTAAGACGATGAAAACATCGCCAAGTTTCTGGGAGAAGCCAGCACACGCCATTTTGAAAATCAAAAGAAGGAAACCGGAATCGGCGGGTCCATATGCAAAAAATTCCACGGAAGCCGGAGAGGCAGAATAATATAATTACAAGATTATTGGCACCCGGACCTGGGGGCAGAATGACTTCTTTCAAGAAAAAAAAACTGAACCGAAACAAAACGAAAACACAAAAAAACAACATTTGAATAAAGTTCTTTTGTCATTGTTGACTATTGATCTATTCTATTGCATAGAGCATAGCACTCACAAACAGAAAGAAGTTAGCAGCAAGCTCTATTCCACAACGAAGTGACTATTCGGACTTATGTCTGAATTACCTCCCGTTGCTATTCGGACTCAAACTTTCATGTGCTTGTCTAGTATGGGATGTCCATTTGGGGATCGGGTCGGGTCTGGATGGTCGACTGCATTGTCGCCTGAAAATAGACACGTTTGTTTTTGAGGCGACGAGTCGGACACGATAGGCTTGTGCCACGATAGCCGCTTTGTGCCCTCAGTCTGGCTAGTAAACCGCCCCAACCCGACCCGACCCCCCAATTTGTATTTTGTCCTGATTTTATTTGAACTTCGTGTAAAGTATTCTGTTTGAAAAACTTTCCCTTTAGACCACTGTTACTTTGAATAGCTGACTTTTGTTCCCTCTGGAAGGGTTTTAAGTTTTCTCTTCTTAGTTTCTAACTGGACTTCCAATTGATCAATGATTTTGTCTTTCTCGTCAAATAAAGCGGGTTTAGACTACCTATTGACAGACTTTTAAGACTTTATAATCCTTAGTTGTTCTGAAACTTTTTAGACTAACTATTGACAGACTTTATAATCCTTAGTTATTCTGAAACTTTTTAGACTACCTATTGACAGACTTTATAATCCTTAGTTGTTCTGAAACTTTTTAGACTACCTATTGACAGACTTTATAATCCTTAGTTGTTCTGAAACTTTGATATTCAGTTTTCTCTGTGCTTTGAGCTCAGTTTGCCTTTGTTATGTAGTATTTACAGATTTTGCAACTGCTGTTCTCTTTACTAATACTTTTCTTAATTTGTGTTGTGTTGTGTAGCCGCGGGAGACAATTCAGACTCGGGTCCGAATAGCTAGCCGCGGCCATCCAACAAATCTTTAATATCACTACAAGATCTTTGCGGGCACAGGCTAACCCTAACCACTTACATCATTTCAAATTCAAGTTCATTAAAAACTTGTGCTTCATTTAAGATTAATATTTTATCTAAAGCAATTGTGTTAAAGTTAAAGTGGTGGTGATCTGACCTGAAAAACACTCTTTGACTTTGGGCTGATGAGTCAACAAGTATGTGTAAAATGGGCAACCACCAAAAGGGGAGAAAAACTTTGATTAGTCCTAAATTTAAACTAGCTTAAATAGTCAAAAATGCAGCCCTAGGCTGTAAAAGTACTACACTGTAGGCTGATAGTACAGTAGTCGAGGTCTATTTATGAATTTTTATCTGGAACTTGGATGCCGGTAAAGGTAAGGAAAATATAAAACTTAAAATTGAAAAATCAAAATTCTTTAAAATAGAAATCAAATGAAAGGGAAAGATTTGAATTTGTTTTCTTTTTTTTTACCTTTGCAGAGTAACGACAAAGAGGATATCATGGCGGGCTCAGACAGCTCAAACAACAATAATCATGTGGTGAAAAACCTCTCTGGCGAATCGTCTTCTTGTGATCTTAGAAGCGACTCAAAGACTATTACCGATGACGCTGTTGTTCCCGTAAAGGATGACAGTGCTGGATCTGCGCAAATTCCTGGGAAAGAACTAATTTGTGATTTCCAGAATTTGGAGACTTTGATTTTGCTGAAAATAGAAAACAATTGTAAATTGTTGTCAGGCCTCAAAGACATTAAACCTCCTCCTATTGAGCCCATTTTTGTTCATCAAGAAGGACCGGAGGAGCCAAAAATAGACTCTGAAGATGTGAAACCTTATACTTATAGTCAAGATGGTCAATTTATTCCAAAGGAAAATCTCTGTGATATCAAACCATTGTTTGAGTCTGAGGATGTGAAATCTTATACTTATAGTCAAGATGATCAATTTATTCCAAAGGAAAATCTCTGTGATATCAAACCATTGTTTGAGTCTGAGGATGTGAAACCTTATACTTATAGTCAAGATGATCAATTTATTCCAAAGGAACATCTCTGTGATATCAAACCATTGTTTGAGTCTGAGGATGTGAAACCTGTTGTTGAAGACGAGGGTACTATCAGAGAAGGAGAGGGGGAGGATCAGTCACACAATTGTCTGAAAGAAGAAAATTGTACATCAGTGGATAAAGCTTTTGTGACAAGAGGAAACGGACAACGGCAAACATTTCTTGAGGTGGGGGAGACAAACTGGAAGACAGTCGTTGGTCATGGAGGTTCTCAAGGAAACAAACAGCCCAGTTTCAAAGTTCTGTGTAATGTCAGTAATGTCAGAGGCAATGTCAGAGACTATTTAAAGCCAGCAGGTGAAATTGTACAACAGACTGGTGAGCCAAACTCCTTGTGTGGTTTGGAAAAAGATTATACATCTCTCCTCAAACGAGAATGTTTTGTGAGCATCGAAAGGTTGAAGATTGAACCTCAGTCTGAACAGTTGCAGGGTTTACAATTAGACGTGAAACCAAAATTAGAGGATTTATTTGTGAAACTGTCAGAGGGCGAGGGAAAAGAGCTCTCAGATGTAAGAGAGATAGACAGAGGAGCAGGGGACGGGCAGGGAATAAGTGTTGGTCAGACATCAGGTGGCAATTTTAGCGGTCTAGCTGTTGAACAACTACTGCGAATCTCCGATGTGAGAAGTCTGCGTAACACTGGAGCAGAGAACTCACTTCAAGAAACTTCTGATGCCGTACTGAACGGTTTCTTTTCATCCATCTCCGATGATCCAAAACATGTTGGAGAATGTCGTGCAACACAATTGACGTGCCAAAAGGACAGGAGACGAGATAAAAGTTTGTTCATCAGTGAGGTGGATTCCAGCAGCATAGATGACATGACATCTGCCCAGAGTTATTGTGAAGGTATGATGATGTTAACATTAATCTACTGACAACGGCTGTGGAAGCTGGTTCTGTCCTTCGGATATCTTTTTTGGGATGTGGACAAATGTTCCAGTTTTTATGAAAGGGTTACCTTATTTCGGCTATTTTTAGCCCCAAAAAAGCGTCCATAATTTATAAGCTAGATATGTGATCCACCATGTAAGCTAGCCCCGTGGTAATGTGTAGGTAATTAACACATCAACAAAGTCCAAATTAATTGAATCACATAGATTTAGAATTATATTATGTAGTCCTTACATAATTTTAATGATATGCATGAATGGCATTTGTATAGATGGCAAGCTCCTTCTCAACAGCCAGCTGTGCACGCTTTACACAATCATAACCCAAGCTGACTTGATTTTGATAGCACATTGTACTGAAAGCATTGTGAAACAATCTCAACTGCCTGGGAAGCATAGTGTGCAAATTTCAAACTGCTGTTTTTACTGGTGCTGATACACTGACGCACTGATTTAAAGATCTTTCACTGTCTAGGGCCAACCTGGGCTGAGAGGAAAGTAGAACATCCTAGCTGAAAGACTGAGATACCGGTACTTGATAAGAATTCTCCTCACACTTGAGTCGAACTTGGGTCTTCTCTGTGTGATGGTGAAGCACTTTACTACTACACCACAGATAACAGTCTCACTGTGTCTGCTGTCATGAAACCCAAGGCTCCGTGTCAACTTTTATTAATGATTATCAAAGTTCTCAGCTCATTTCTCAGTTTTTACTCAAGTCTTCTTCTGTTTTATTTTAATTCGTTTTTTTTTTAGCCATACCGGTAGTCATTTTATTTTTATCAACTTTTCATAAGGCTGAAAGTTTTATCGACAAGTTGTAGACTTATTTATTATGTTGGACTATTGTGTGGATAGTTGATATATAATAATAATAATAAATATAGCATTTGTTTAGCGCATATCCCCGCTCGGCAGCAAGCTCTATGCGCTTTACACCTCAACAGACTATAGAACACTCCGAAACATTCTCAGCTTCCCTGGATGGTAGCATACTGTGCAAGCAGCTGATTAAGCAATCTAAACACTAACAAACTGACAAGATCTTTCACCGTCTATAACTGGTTACCCATTCCCATCTGCTTGAAGTGAGGAACATTTGTGTGAAGTGCCTTTCTCAAGGATACAACGTCGGGTCCCTGATGGGATTCGAACCCACGCCCTTGCAGTTGGGAATCTGAGAAGAAAAAAACCCAACAATTATAAAGCATTTTTGAACTTGAGTTGTCCGGGGCATTTTCCACAAAGCTGTCCACCCGCTTGGGTCTGTCATGTAAATGGAAGAGATTAATGTTCTACTTTTATGCCCTTTCTCTTATATCTTTTTGTTTTGAAAGAGGAATTAAATCCATATTAAAGAGCCATATGCAACCCCATCTGCATGAAGTATTGTGTAAATCACATTCATTTTCAATTTGAATTTCTTTTTAAAAATAGTTACTTCAAGGAGCTGTCTACTTTAACTTTAACTATGAATTTTTATTTATGAGCCCTCCCAAGTGCTATACACGTTAAGGCAGAGGCAACTAGCTATTAATGAATTAAAATCAATGTTTTCATTTTCTTTATGATGTGAATCTTTTTTTATACTTTTGTATATGTGCATCAAAGTATATATATATATATTATAAAACGGTCACTTTTAAAAATTCCTCTACTTTACGTTTATACTATAATATTCATGTTCACTTTCCTTAAACTGTGTTCTAAATTTTTCACAGAGAGACGACGAAATTCTTACAGGATAACACGCAGAGGCAGTTCACTAACACACAGAGGCAGTTCACCGGGCTCATCAAAACTGGGGCAAAACCCTCGGCTGCCCGGGAAAGATGATGATGTTGTGCGAGGAATATCTCTGGAAAATTCCTGTCCGGGTGTGGAGAAGGACAGTAATCCTTGTCGTGAGGTAGCTGGTGGTGCCCACGTTTACTCTGATCAATCAGGTTGTAATTTTGATGTTGGTTTAAAAGAATGTTACGTCTCCTTAGTTAGACTGAAAGATGGTCCTAATTTTAGTGAGGTGCAAACATGTGCTCTTGAAATCATCCCTCATAAAGAGCAGGGCAGACCAGTAGAAGAACTGTGTAATGTACAGGGACAGCATAAGTCTTGTAAATGTTGTAGGAAGAACTGCTCTTCCTGTTGGGGAGGAGATGATAACAGGGAAGGGCAGCTGAAGAGCCAAGACGGCGTGTCTGCTTCTGGTTCTGTTAGTTCTCCAGGCTCTCCATGCACCACGGTGCCAGAAATGCGCAAAGGAAGACGTTTGGATCAACACAGCTCGAAAGTCCTCGATAGTTCAGGATCTGGGGCTGGCAGTACAGGACAGAGAAAGCTGAAGTTGCGCAAGCGTAAAGTTTTCTTTTCTGATATGGCACAGACCTCTGACACACACAGCACGGAAAGAGCAGAAGTAGGAGAAAAGCCCTTTAAATGTCAGGTGTGTGGTGGGGAGTTTACTCGGGAAAATGACCTACAGAAACATAAGGAAACACACACAGGAGAAAAGCTCTTCAAGTGTCCAATTTGTGATGCCCGTTTTGCCAAGAGTCGTATTCTACAGAAGCACAAAAGAACACACACAGATGAAAAACCTTACAAATGTAATGCTTGTGGTATGGGCTTTTCTCAGAACTGTGATCTGCAATGTCATGAAAGAACACACACTGGAGAAAAACCATACATGTGTGATGTGTGTGGTTGTGGATTTTCGAAAAGTTTTAACCTCCAGAGGCATATAAAAACACACATGGGAGAAAAACCTTTCAAGTGTGAAGAGTGTGGTGCCAAATTTACTGAGAATAGTAGCCTAGAGAGGCATGCAAGAATACACACTGGGGAAAAACCATTCAGGTGTGAAGTTTGTGGTGCAGGCTTTGTAGAAAGATATAAACTACAGAGTCACAAAAGAACTCACACTCAAGAAAAGCCGTATAAATGTGACATTTGTGATGTAGCCTTTGCTGAAATTTCCAGGCTTCAGGCTCACAAAAGAACGCATACTGGAGAAAAGCCGTACAAGTGTGAAGTTTGCGGTAAAAGGTTTGCGCAGAGTGGCGATTTGCGCAGTCACAAAAGAACTCATACTGGGGAAAAGCCTTACATCTGCGAAATTTGTGGTGCTGGATTTGCGCAAAATAGCAGCCTACAAAAACATTTGAAAACGCACTCTGAGGAAAAGCCATTCAAGTGCGGAGATTGCGATGCAGTGTTTGCTCAGAGGATCCACCTTCAGTGTCACAAAAGAACACACACAGGAGAGGAACCATTCAAATGCACCATTTGTAAGGCAAAGTTTGTTCAGATTGGCCACCTTATACGGCACAAGAGGACACATACGGGAGAAGAACCGTACGTATGTAAAGTATGTGGTGCGAAATGTGCAGATAGCGGCAACCTGCAAAGACACAAGAGGATTCACACCGGTGAAAAGCCTTATGAGTGTGGTGTTTGTGGTAAACGGTTTCGCGACAGAAGTCACTTATCAGGCCACAAAGCAGCACATATTGGAGAAAAGCAATTCAAATGTGATGTTTGTGGAAAAAGCTATGCACGCTTGTATCTGCTTCAGGATCACAAAACAAAACACACGGGAGAAAAGCCATACAAGTGCGATGTTTCTGGGAAAAGGTATACACGCAAATATCTCCTTGTGAGTCACAAAGAAAAACATCCTGAGAAAAAGGGCAACAAGTGGGACATTTATTGTAGTCGTCTCTTGCGGGATGAAAAAAGAAATACTTACAGGAAAAAGAAAGAGAAGTAAATGAGATATTTGTGGTGTATGGTTCTTGAGAGAATGGAAGTTCACAGAGTTGTAAAAGAACACGTATGAAGAAGAAAATAAAAATAATAAATTTTGTCTTTCATGCAGTTTCTTTAAAAGACTTATCTTTTTAAGACTTTGAATTTTAAAAGAAGGTTGTTGGGTTTTTTTACTTGGGTTCTGCATTATCCGCATTACATGTACATTGTATTATATTATGGGTAGTTTGTATGACAACTGATACCTGTATTGTAATGGTTAGGTGCTTGGCAGTCACACTCATTAGATGTTAGTTTGATTCTTATGTGAGGTGTGAGATGTTTTATCATGCACATGACATGGACCGACTATACATCAAACTTGAATTTTTATTTTTTATATATATTAAAATAATATATTGAGTTTTTTCATTACATTCTGTGCACTGTTTTGCTACAGCAGTTTCTTTTTGTTTTCTTGTGAGTAGGCTTACTTGTATTTGAATAACTTTACAGTGGACTCCGCTGAAATTGAACACGGTTAATAATTAAAAAACAACAGTAAATTGAACTAAAACAGAATGTTAGATTTTTTTTTAAAATCTTCTATTTGAGCAAGCTCTCTAAACCAAGAACCCTGTAGAAGTGTAGTAAATCCGGCCTTTCAGCAGATCTATGTCAAAAGAGAGCATTTCTTTCATTGCTAACATACGACTCGTACATACCTGGATACCTGAAGGTGTCATCTCTGACTCAGAGGTTGACATGTAATGACCCTCCATCTTTCACGGTCGCGAGCTGCCATATCCAGGCCAGTCCATGTTCTTATGTTGTCCGTCCATTTTATTCTTTGCCTTCCTCTTGCTCTCCAGCCCCTCATCTTTCCTTCAAGCACCACTTTCACAATCACAATGGTCTCGTGTCGTTTCAAGTGGCCATAGTACAATTGTGTTTTTCTACATTTTATTTTATTCAGCAGGGTTTGTCTTGTGTGTAGAATCTGACTTACCTTATTGTTTTGTCTTTTTTGTTTTCCGACTTATTCTGGCCATTCTAGTACTACAGTAGCACATCTCAAACGCATTTATTTTCTTTTCTTCTTTCTTTGTGAAAGTTCAGGTCTTTGCCATATATAGGAATATGGGGAAGATGTAGCATCCCGGCATTTGGTTTCTTAAAGGCAGAGATACATGTAACATGTAGTTGTCTTGGTTTAAATAGTGTGTACATTTGGCTGAATCTTGTTTTTGGAGTCACTATTCTTATGTTTACCATGTATTTCTTTTTCACTTCTTCCATCATCTGTGATTGTTGCCCCTTGATACTTGAGTTGGTGCACTTGTTTGATTCTCTCCCCTGCAATGGTTATGTTTGTTGTTTAAATATAAATGTGTATGTGGTTGGCGGGTGCTCTGGTGTGGTTTGATACTTCTGTCCTATCAAACATCTATCTTCCTTATCTCCCCTTCTTCTTTTTTATGTTTGTTACTCTCTTGTAGCACCTCTAATATTCTGGCGCTCGTATGACCTTATGCTGTTGCGAGCGCCGTAAAACCTCTAATGGGTAATTGCTGCTGCATTATAAGTTAGCTAATTTCTCATAAATTTATAAGTAGAGTCTTTACTTTGAGGTACGGGATGTGCCTACGATTGCTTACCTTATACAGTTCAGGAATATAACATGCATCAAAACTGTTTTAGTATTTTAAGATAGACTTTATAATGTTACCTATTCAACGGGTCCCATTACGATCTAGTTCTAGATACAAATTTTTTCGTGCAATGCCCTCAAACTCTTGAAACATGAAACAGTGTGTCTCACCTGGCTGTCTCTTGAATCTCATATTTGTCCTCAAACCTCTGACAATGGAGCATTTCTTTCAGTGGAAGAAAATGAGAAATGTTTTAAGGAAGAAGGGGCTAAATCAAATAAATCTGGCTAATAGGGTGCATTGCATGCTCCAGCAAATCCTAATCCTACGAATAGCTCTCAAAACGTGCAGAGACCACCCTGGTTTTTGTGGACTGGTGGCTTGTCAGTGTCGTGGTGGAAGGTGGTGCCGCCATTGCCAGGTTCCAGCATACAATCAAATCCAATATGTATGGACCAGGTCGTATTTAATACTTGTACCTCCATACATAAAATTCCACCCCGAGAAGGGAAACTTCATTATAATGGGCCACTGCCAAAAGGTCGCCACTTCCACAGCAGCAAATACACCAAAGTTTAAACTCTCATATAATAATATGCTTGTACATGTACATTCGAAGCATGCGCATATTTCTATCAATGGCAAAGACCTGGACTTTCACAAAGAAAGAATAAAACACCCTTGCGCTGCATGAAATTATGTTGGTTAGATAACTTTGTTGAGATGCACCTTATTTCTTTATTCTTCCACTCTATATTACGATATTCTGTTTAAAAAGATGATAAATGTACTTTGTCAGTTTTTACTTTTACAATTACATGCCTTCACTGTATTTCACTGGGAAGAAATTGATATCTTTTGTACATGTATAGCATTGTATAGACCTGGCTTTCAAATATGATGAAATTTTGTAGAATTGTCATTTACCATATCACGGGATTTGGAAATAAAACGTTAAGATACATTTATAACTAACAGATTTTTGACGTAGCCTACAGAATAAAATGTTTTCTTGTGTAAAGCAATAATATACTGGGATTTATTTATTTAAATTAGCGGTATATAATATTATCCCTGGAAATGGTAAAACTACAGTTAAATCTGATTATACAGCCACCTTTACGATGAGCATGAAGTTGGCGTTTTAAAGGTGTTCCTCTGTTAACTTGCCCTGACGGCACGTCATCAAGTGAAGTGATTTTGCTGTGTGATCTGTGTTTGAAAAATGTCACTCCGTTGGTGAATTATTAGTAGTACGTACATGATATAATCATATAATATATAGAGCA